TGAAGAAAGTTACAAGAACGCAAAAAATTAAATAAAAAACTTAACTACAGAAAAAAAAAACTTAACCGCTGTACGTTTTCAGTTGTTTTAATGAAACTTGTATAAAAGGAAGATTGCTTCCAAAATTCACAATTATATATATATATTAGGTCCTCAAAAGAAAGTACATTTACTGAGATAGATGTACAACCAGACACCCCCACCTACATACATATATCTTTCTATATATACATAGCTGCATCAATATGTTCTTACCTAATGATGGAAAAACATTTTGCACATCAAATATTTCTGCCCCCCCCTTCCTTGACAAACCTCTTCATTCACAAATATTAATCACATCGATCATGAATATTATACAGTGAAAATTAAAGATCAAAATTCACTTCTTAATTAGCTTTCAGGCTAAGATTTACTGACACACCCTAATACATACATACATACATACATATATATATATATATATATATATATATATATATATATATATATATATATATATATATATATATATATATATATATATGTGTGTGTGTGTGTGTAAAAAAAATAAAAGGTAAATAAATAGAGAGAGGCTGGTAGTTTTAGTAAGTTGAATTTATAGAAAGATAAGTTCAGTTGAAATTCTCAGACAGATATAAAGGCAGACATAAATAACAGAATGAAAAGAAAAAATCAATAATTTCAAATATATTTGAATAGATAGATAGATAGATAGATAGATAGACAGATAGATAGATAGATAGATAGATAGACAGATAGATAGATAGATAGATAGATAGATAGATAGATAGATAACGTCCGTCCTGAGACCCCTAAATTGATGGGGTGGGTATGTACATGGTGTTCATTGGGTTTGGAATGTGTTCTCTTCCTTAATGAGCGTTCGTGCGTAACATTGTAAGTAATTAGGCAAAAGTTGGCTAACGAAGTTGTTTGCATTATGCAGTTAATTGTGGAAAATTGTTGCCGAAGGAAGAAAGAGAGGCGGAGAGAGAAATAGAGAGAGAGTCAGAGAGAGAGAGAGAGAGTAATATGAGTGGCAAAATATACAAATTACTGGAAGCGTGAAAAAGCAAAGTAAAGTAAAAGATAGTGAAGACTGAATATGAAATTACAAAAGGAAAGTAATAAACAAAAAAGCGAAATTATTAGATGAGATGATAGAAAGAAGAACGTAAAGCAATGAACCTGTAAAGAAAGAAAGAAAGAAAGAAAGAAAGAATAGACCATCGTTAAAAAAGAAAGAAAGAAAGAAAGAATAGACCATCGTTAAAAAAGAAAGAAAGAAAGAAAGAATAGACCATCGTTAAAAAAGAAAGAAAGAAAGAAAGAATAGACCATCGTTAAAAAAGAAAGAAAGAAAGAATAGACCATCGTTAAAAAAGAAAGAAAGAAAGAAAGAATAGACCAGCGTTAAAAAAGAAAGAAAGAACCAGCATGAAAGAAAGAAGGAAAGAAAGCAAGAAATTAAGAAAGAATGAAAGAAAGAAATGAAATAAAATAAATAAATCACTATAATATATATATATATATATATATATATATATACATATACATATAGTAAGTGTGTGTGTAAAAGAAAGAAAAAACGAAAAGGAAGAGCAAAAATAAGATGGAAAGGAGTAATGGAAAATGAATAAATGACTTGAATATATATATATATATATATATATATATATATATATATATATATATATATGAAAAGAAAGAAAGAAAGAAAGAACATGGCCAAAATCTTGAACATAAAATGTTTTTATAAATTGAAGAAAAGATCAGAAAAAATGAGAAAGGAATAAAGAAAAAGAAAAGAATGAAAAAGAAGCTGAGAAGGTAGAAGAGAGAAAAAGTAAAGAGAAAGAAGTGATGAAGGCCATAAGAAAGTGGGAAATAGTAAAGTTAAAATGAAGAAAAGGAAGAAGAATAAATTAATTGAAGAATAAAAAGAAAACAAAGGAAATAAAAAAAAAACAGGATTTCCTTTACTTTTCCTGATTTAAGCTTAATTAGTGAAGAAGGTGCTCTCTTGAACTTCCTGTCTACTTCTCGGACTTTTGAAATGTTTTGAAAAAACAAAAAAAAAAAAAAAAAAACAACAACCTGATTATCTGAATTCGTTTCTTCGGATTGATATTTGCTGATTTCTGATTGGCTAATTAGTTTGATTTACAGTTCTTTGTTAAGTGGATTTCAATGGTTCGCTCCTAAAGAATGAAGTCTTTTTGTTCATTACGGTAGAGACTTGGCGGTGGGGATTTCCTTCTTACGTGGCACACATGTGTCACTTGATGAAATACACTTCGTTGTAAATGTAAGATCACCAGATTATCTTAATATTAACTATCACAAACAATTTTCCGCCTTTTAGAAACTTACTCCGCAAAAAGACACAGTAACAGCAAAAATATTGAACGAAATAAAATATTAATATCAAACATTACGAGGAAGGCTGGAGAATGCATCGGTTAAAAGGTTGTGATTGTGACAACAAAGATGAAGATACCTATTTACATTATTTACATTGTTTGGACTGTTGGCCTCATCTTTATTGTCATATTCACAACGTTTCGACAGTTGTACGCTCCGGTTTTCTTCAGGTGTTGGAAATTTCGAACTGAACCCTTTATTTCGCCCATCGAGGGTATATTGTTCTAGTTCCACGTGCCATGCCTCTTCTGGATGTCTCAGTTACCTCCATTTAACTCAATTCTCCAATTTTTTCTTCATATTTTGGTCAAGTCACTAAATCCGACCAACGCTTTTATCCACTGGGCCATGTGGATAAAAGCACACATGGCCCAGTGGATAAAACTAGAACAATCTACCCCGGTGGACGAAAGAAAGGGTTCACTTCGAAATTCCAGTCACCTGAAGAAGGCCGGGGCGTATAACGGTTGAAATGTCGTGAATATGACAATAAAGCCTGGGAATAATGACAATAACTCATCTCAGAACTTTAAATAGTACTAAATTTGTCTGAGAACACCTACTCCGACTAAAATAGCAAAGATAAAGTCCATTTATATCAGAATTTTTGATAAGGTGAGCTATTATTGTTATATGCCTTATTACTGATACCAAAATGCTCATTTTGCTTATTATAGTCACAACGTTCCGGTCATTGTACTCTCCGGCCTTTTTTAAGTGTCTGTCCTAATGAGTAACGTTCTTGGAATTTTGAAACGAGCGCATTATTCAATGGGATTTTTTAAATTTCTCTTTTCATGCTTACGGTATATTTAATATTTAATACACAGTAGCTTTTGTGCCATCCGAAGTTAAACAACGCTAACCTGGTGTGTACGTAAATGGGTGACCACTTGGGAATAAAAGGTGATATAAGCTTGGATGTGCGGGTGGTGTAATGGATAATGGCTCGGAATTATAAATCGGAGAGCCAAGTTCTAATTTCAGCTCCAATTTTTTACCAGGATTTTCTAAAAACAAAAAAATTTAATTCCGTTGTAAATAAGTTCTGAAAATTTAATTAAAATCCGACAATTATTTGATTTTTGCAAGAATTTCCAAAACAATGTGTTTTTAAGGCTCAAAAAGATGCTAAAATCCTTATACTAATCTTTGGTTTACCCGTTGGCGCAAGAAAAACAAGATTTTTACGTAAAATTATGAAAGTGCTTGAAAGGATTCTAAAAGTTAATAAAATAATTAAAAAAAAAGTTAATAATAAAAAGTTAATAAAAAAAAGTCAATAAAAAAGCTAATAAAAAAAGTTAATAAAAATAAAAAAAGTTAATAAAAATAAAAAAGTTAATAAAAAAAGTTAATAATAAAAAGTTAATAAAAATTTTAAAAAGTTAATAAAAAAAGTTAATAAAAAAGTTAATAAAAAAGTTAATAAAATAATTAAAAAAGTTAATAAAATAATTAAAAATACTCTTAATAATAACATCAACATTTAAACTCTGTTTATATTAAGTTTGGGCATTTTTAGAATATTTTTGGTGGTACCTAATCTAATGGCACCAAAGTGAATAGAAGAGAGAACCATCACGAATTGTCCCCTTAGCATGGAAACCAGAAGAGACCATTCTAGGGCTTAGTTAAAAATTCCAAGAAGGACACAAATTACGATTACATGGACTAGATGAAAGCCGGATGGTAAATCGATTGAAAATAAGTGAGTATAAAAACGAAGATGAGAATGCTGGCCAGATTAGAAAGACATATCAAAAGATAGTCCGAATGATTGATTCGTGTCAGGTTTAATTATAATCGTTGCAGAGTATTCAGTTGCCTGGATGTACAAGGTAGTCAAGGTGTAAACTTGACGTTTCTTCCCAGATTTTCACTGACCGGTCACATAAACACCCCACATTGCACCTCTGTCCTCATTCGTACCGTTGTGCATCCCAAACTTAAGATGAAAAATGAAGACTCGAACTCAGTTTCCAATATATTTCGCTGTTTATTCAGAGCTTCACTTGTACAGTCTGGGCCGGTAGAAGTAGGTAACACGTGGAACAAATTTTGCCATTTCGGGCTAACAGATCAGTCTTTCCCTCAACTCTTCCCCTCTATCAACTCCCTGCTCATCTCAAAATCACCACTCGCGGCTGGCAACTTTACCGGGCGGCAAGCAACTTTAACAGGCCACATCGGAACTAAACTCAGGCTCATTTGTATTTTTTCGACACTCACAGAGTTAATCTGTGGTTCATACGACAACTATACTGAGCAGGCTTTTGTTACAGTTCAAATATGTATACCAGGGTCACATATGGTTTTGAATTCAGAATTTTCTTTTATATATACTGGCTGTCAATTATGGCTAGAGTTTCCTGTCAGCCCTGCTATTTAACCCATAGCTAGGGGATGGAGAAAGGGTATGTAATTGATATCGAACCACCAGCTTCTTGTTCTGATCCTCTAACCATTACACCCCAACCCCTTACACATTCTCATAACGACAATGTTTCAATAAAAAAATCCAGACAATATTAGGAATTCTAGAGTGCTCAAAGACTGACATTGGAATCAAAATGACAGTGTCTTCTTATAGTTCTTTTGTATTTGTTTATTTTCTTCTTTTCTTTTTTTTTTCATTTTTTTCTTTTTCTTCTTTTATTTATTTTCTCCCTTTTTCTCTTTTTCACTTTCTTCTTCGTTTCTTTTTCCCGTAATGTCGATACCGACGTTAACATTTAAAATCAATTCCCCCCCCCTTTTTTTACTATTCCCGTTCCTTTGTCTCTGTTGTTAATACAACATTTTGCTCGCTTCCGTTTTCAACTTCCTGTCACTTCACTCAGTTCAGGGCCGGAAGTGGGTCCAACTAAAAGCGGAAGCGAATTCAATATCAAATATGTCTGTCAAAAATCATGTACTGACAAAAATGGAAGAGAATCACGGAATAAAAAAAAAAGAAGTTTTATTTATTTCATTTCTTTTTTTTCATTCCGTCTGTCATTCTTTTACTTCTTTCTTCAACATCCTTTTCTTTCTATTTTCCATTCGTTCTTCCTTTTTCTATTTATTTTGCTTTCTTTTTTGCACAAAAAGAATAAAAGTATATAAAAATATATTTAATTTTTTTTGTTTGTTTGCATTTTCTCATTTTTTTGTTATTCATTTAATTTTTGATATTTTTAACTTTCTTTCGTTCTTTTCATTTTCCCTCTGATTCTTGTCTTTCTTTTTCTTTCCTTCGGTCTCTTTCTTGATGTTTGCCCTTTTTCTTGTATTGATTTAAATATACACTTTTTTCATTCATTTCATTTGTTTTCTTTTTCTTTCCTTCGGTCTCTTTCTTGATGTTTGCCCTTTTTTTTGTATTGATTTAAATATACACTTTTTTCATTCATTTCATTTGTTTTCTTTTTCTTTCCTTCGGTCTCTTTCTTGATGTTTGCCCTTTTTCTTGTATTGATTTAAATATACACTTTTTTCATTCATTTCATTTGTTTTCTTTTTCTTTTCTCCTTTTTTTACCTTCTTCCATTTAGTGTTCTTTGTCTTGTAATTCCGTTTATTTCTTTTCTCTTTGCTTATTATTTCTTACTAGCAGCATGGCCCGGCGTTGCCCGTGCTTGATTCATAAATCGTACGACTTATACCGCAATTTTCTTGCATGAAAAGGAAAAATGGAATGGAGTTTGTGTATCACTGGCTGAGGACTTCAGTGTAGACCACATTTTCAGCTTTTTGCGAGGGTGAATAAAGGAACACATCCTCGCGCCTGCCAACTCGAGAGCAAGCTACGTAAAGTTGGCCATCTGAGAAGCACTGCTCCTCTCAGTGTACACCAATGACAGACAGCGTTTGTCCTTGGGCCATCAAACCCTTCAAATGGCTCCTTCACATGGTGACTCCCAATGGCCTCGTCATAAATCCGGTCAGTTTTAGCTAAAAACCGACATGCGGTTCAGGTGCAATCTGGGCGTATCGGTTTTTGGATTTTATCGATTTTCCGCGCTGTTTAGGGGTCCGTGGTCATGAAACTTCTGAACAACACTTCTAATGGTAGACTCTAAGAGGGTGTCAAATTTGGTTGTAATGCGATCATTCCTTCTATAAGCAGATTTTTTCGATTATCGATATTTTCGATTATCGATTTTTTCGGAACCTGAGTCCGAACTCAAAAATCGGGCTCCGTCATGTCCTTACGGCAGCCATTTGCAAACTTATGGTGAAAACCTCATCGAAATCGGGTGAGAAATGCGGTCTGGGGGACGTAACAACGCCCACGACAGACACACTGACAGACAACATGAGAAATATAGATAGTAGATTTTCATTCCATTTTTCTCTCCTTTTTTCCTTGAGTTTCTTTCCATTTTTCTTGTATTACAACCTCCATTTTCTTATTTTTCTAATTTTCATTATTCTTTTTTTTTTGTTTCTTTGCTTCTTTGTATTTCACAGTTGCCGTGATTACTTTCTACTTACAGTGTTCTGTCCTTCGGTCGGCTACAGTCAAATGCCGATGAAAGCAACGATTCTCGTTCGATCGCCAGAATTAGGAAGTGTCAATCCCACTCAGTTCTTGGGTGGGGGAGCGCTTGGGAGCAACTGTAATCAACTTCCTACATTCTGAATTTTGTTTTGGCTTTAAATAACCTTCAAATGGTTGATAATCCGTAAAAAAAAGCAAATTTATTCAATCAATCAACAAAAAAGATCCTGATTTTTCCAGCCTTCTTTTTTTCCTCGTCTTGACTTATTTTTTCTTCATTTTGCATTCATTAAGAGACTCTGCTTCAAAGTGCAAAGGGGAGATAATCACTCATGTTTATATTTAGTAAAAGTTTACACGAATCGATATTTTTAAGAATACTAATCAAATTTTCTAGTATTTTTTCATTATGACATTTTGGCAAACTTAGATCTTCGTGCTCCCACCCCCAATGCAAAAAATAAAATGTCAAAAGGACGTTTTTTTTCCCCTTGCAACCGTTTTAATGATTCAACTACATTTATTCCTCGGCAGTGTTAATTGTTTGATTAGAATTTTAATAAAACTTAAACATATGATGAAAGTGAATTTATACATTTTCTTTATCCTTGAGAACTGACAAAAGAAACACTATTTATTTATTAGTGTAATGACAAAAGTACGTAGGTGTAGGCTTTAAGAAAGCTTTATTCAACTGAGAATACAAGGTTCGCGTATAGTGTTCTTTTATATCCCAGTAAACAGAAATAGCTCTCTCAAAGAGGAGAGTAACAAAAAAGGGGAGACCACTCTTGATTATTCATAACAATTACATTGTTTATTTACACTATTTATTTATTATATTACTTATTGGAATGTTTGGCGAAACATCAGCTAAAGTGATTCGAACTTTGTAAAACGATCAAATTTAGTAAATGTTTATAAATTTATGAATAAAATTTTTTTTTCATATTTATTTATAAATTGGTAAATGATGAATATAGCTTTAATTGTATTAATTTTTAGAATGTTGTAAATATAATATTAGTCTTGTAATAGCCTCTAACAACATTGGTTTTCGTAACTATTGGTGGCTCTGCAATAATGTGTTAAATATGACTAAGCCCTCTATCCCTCTTCTCTTCACGGAGTTTGAGTTGTTAAAATATTCAGCTGATAAAGCAGAATGTTTTGCTCGTAAATTCTCTTCCAATTCTATCCTTGACACCTGACTTTCCCATTACAACTGAGTCCCTGTTGAGATATACATATAACTCTCTAGACTATAATCTACAATAATCTCTAAACTGGATCCCCACAAAGTATATGGACCTGATGGTATCCATGTAATAGTCCTTATGAAATGTTCACTCCAACTGGTGCCTGTTCTTTATAAACTTTACAATAAATTATCAATCTTTTGCAGGTTATTGAAGCCAGAAAATATTTTGAAATTGTAAGAACATTTTGAAGATAATAATATTTTACTGATACAATTCCTATTAATTAACCCATAGCTAGGGGGAAGAGTTGGATTCATACTTTCCCCAATGGGATTTGTGCCTAAGTGAATTTAACGAACTCGACTGGAATTGGAACTCGGCTCTCCAATTTCCAATTTCAAATTGTTACCCATTACACCATCCGCCTACCCCCATGCTTACAGAACCTCTTATTCCCAAGTGTTCACCAATCTAGGTCCTACCCAGGCTCGACGTTGCTTTACTTCGGTGGTCGTACGGGAACCGGTATTTCAACGTAATATGGACGTAAGCCTATATATATTCACACTCAAACAAACACACACATAGACATATATGTGTTGTTTAAAACTCAGCTATATTTATAGAATAAAAGTGCTCAACACGGGGAACAGAGCGTATGCAGGCATTGTCAGGGTTGCCGTAGGAATCAAAACTCCATGGACATGTAAATAAGGTGAACGTGTGGATATAGAATACGGATTAAATCCGTCAGAATGATTAAATAAGGAACAAGAAGAAAATCTTTACAAATCCGACACAGAAGATTATGAATTTGTTGTGTCGTGGCACAATAGTAAAAATAAGAAAATCAAGTCGAAGTTGGGTTAAGGAACAAGTGTATTTAACATCACAGATACAAAGGTTGGAAACGGGTACTACTCAGTTAGGCAGTGTAGTACTGTCGCTGCTACTACGGGTAGGTACTACTGACACTATATATATAGTGAGAACCGGTGTAAATCCCTTGTGTTAGAGGCCGGTGTAACAGAATTGAACAGTTTTCTTTTTAATTATTTAAAAGTTTTATAGTCATGAAAATGGAAAGGAGTCATTCTGTCAATACTTATCAGAAGATATATAGATACAAAACATTTTCAAAAACCTCCCAAGCTTGATCAATTACAGATCTAGCCTTTATTTTTCACTCATAAAATTAAAAAAAATTATTCGATGCAAACATACCAAAGACGCCATCGAAAATGATGCCCTCAGAGAAAGATTTTGTTATTAAAATTCAAACATTTTCTTTTACCTTTAAAATATATGGTAGAGTGAATTTTGTATATTCTTATTTTTAGTATATTTAATCCCCTATTGAGTTTCCAACAGCTTATAACTATTTTATAATCGCTTCAAGAACGGGAAAATGATTTAATTGCTTTGAACCGATCACCAAGATCCCAATTGCTTAATACAAGTGAATTAATATGGGAAGATTTCGACTATCACCTAAATGAAAGAAGTCAAAAGAACGGCTCTTAATATCCTGGCACCAGATCCCGAAAGAAACTTTGCAAGACAGAGTCCATGACTAGTCAGTTAAGACTTATATTGCGAGCATATGAAACTCTCAACAGTATATTAGGATGGTGGCCATAGATAAAGCAATGAAATATACATGTATCCACAACAAATCCCAACTAGTAACAACACAAACAAATGGACATATTTATAGACCAATGAAACTATTAATCTTTATTTTTGCATATCAAATCTATCTATCTATCTATCTATCTATCTATCTATCTATCTATCTATCTATCTATCACATTCTTTTCAATTTCTATCTATCTATCTCAGTTTGTTTCTATCTATTTTTCTATCTACCTATCTATCTCAGTCTTATCATGTATATAACTTATATATATATATATATATATATATATATACATATATAATATACATACACATATATATATATATAATTATATATATATATATATATATATATATATATATATATATATATATATATATATATATATATCAGTGAGTGCCCTGACGATAAATGAACAACGCTGATGGCCATCGCAATTCAATCATATCACCTATTCTAAGTGCCTGCCAAATGCCATTCACTCGGTTCCATTAAAAGCTTGGCAAAAAATGGCAGATGCAAAAATGCGGGAATGTTTTTCGCGTTCTTAGAAGGGCAGCCGAACCTTTGAATACGAAATGATAGCTACAATCGACAAAAATGGAAAACTTTATTTTTCTCTTTCGTTCTCTTTTACTTTTTCTCTTTCTCCTTCCTTTACTAGCTTCTCTTCTCTTTTCCGCTTTCTTTCTTTGTCCTTGACTATCTACGCCTCTCTCTCTCTCTCTCTCTCTCTCTCTCTTTCTATTCATAAAAATATGTTTTATTACCGCCGTATACCTCTCACTCTCCATCGGTTTGCATGTCCCTTCTTACTCTCTTGCTTTTTACTCTCTTTCGTTCTGCTTAGATATTTCTCTTTTTTCTTTCACTTTTTGATTTAGACTGCTATTTCTTCCCCCCCCTCTCTCTCTCTCTCTCTCTCTGCACACGCACCCACACACACAAGCGCACGCGCGCCTTCGGTTGCAGCTCTTATAA